CCTGAGGTGTGATCCTGGAGACCCGGGATCGAGTCCCATGTCGGGCTCCCTGCATGGAGCCTGCTTCTTCTGTCTCTGCCTCTCTCTCTCTCTCTCTCTCTCTCTCTCTCTCTCTCTCTCTCTCTCTCTAAATAAATAAAATCTTAAAAAAAAGAATGTTTTAAAGTTATGATTGTGTTTTGGTTTATATGAAAAATTGCAGAAAAAAACTTAAAACTCTAGGAGTTTACAGCCCGTGAGCTACTGTCTGTTTTGTGGCTTTTATCTCTTTAAATGTTTTTTTTTTTAAATCAGAAGAAATATTTGTGACATGTGACTATAGAACGAAATTCGCATTTCAGTGTTTGTACATGTTTTACAAAAACAGCCATGCCTCCTTCATTTTTCTTGTCCAAGGCTGCTTTTGCAATATGGCAAAGCTGTGTTGTGTCAAAGACCATCTGGCCAACAAAGCCTAAAATATTTACCGTCTTGTCCTTCGGAGAAGGAGTTTGTTCACCCCTGCCGTGGATAGTGTTTTCTTCCAGAAAGGATTTACTTTTGCTTCTAGCAGGCAGTGAGGGTGCTTGGAGTCTCAAATTGTATGAAAACAGATTGAGTGCGCATCAGTGACCACAAGGACTATATTTCCACTTCTCTCTTATTGTTACCCTTGGGTTGCCCTTTGGGGTCCCAGTCCACACACGGATGCTTACCAGGGCTCCCCTTCCTTGAAAGGCCCTGGATTCTGTTTTTTTGTCACATCTTCCCCAAGAGGTTTTCACACTGTTTCTACTTTCTCAGCTGTGCTGCTGTATTTTCCACATATTGAAGATACCTCATGGGGAAAACTGACCCTCAAATACTAGGCTTACTTCTCAGAGTTGTCTTCCTCCAAATCGTAGCCTTGGCCCCTTAATTTCACATGCCTTATTAGCTTCCCAGTGCCTTCAAGCAGATTTCTTTTTAAATAGTTTGAACCCCTTTCCTAGCTGTTTTCAGGGGGAGCATTGGTTTGCATTACCTAGTCTGCCAATATGGAAATGCTTTATAAACCACAAATACACTTTGTTTTTGACGAGAATTCCTAGATCTTACAGTGAAACTGCCAAATGAGTTGTGCTCATCTTGAACCTGTACATGTTTGGGCAGCTGTCAAGTGGAGCCACCCAATTTTCTCTTCCCCACTGTGTCCTTACCAGGTTTGGGGATGGTGATTAACGTGATCCGTTTGTCTTTTCACACCAAAGACAGAAGCCTGAGAGTAAGCCTGGTCTCCTGCCCCTTTTAACCCCACTCCAAGTCCCTTAGTTCTCAAGTGGTCCTGCTGCTACTGCTGTTTCTACTCTTATCTCCTTGCCCGCAGTCCATTCTCCACACTGCTACCAAAGTGCTAAAATGGGAATTTGATCATGACATTTCCCTGCTTAAAAAGTTCAGTGACTCTTTAAGTAGGCTCCACGGCCAACATGAGGCCTGAACTTACAACCCTGAGGTTGAGTCATATGCTCTACCCATGGAGCCACCAGGTACCCCCCTTCAGCAGCTCTTTATATAGGTTGTTGTATGCATCTCATGCCTGAAGGAAGCTTATCTAACACATATTTTCTCCGTAGGGCCCATCATTGCCTTCTTGCATTTAGGCACCCTAGACATCACTTCAGCACTGTGCTGGGGGGGTGCCATTTTAAACCCTGAAACCACCAACAAAAAGTTGAAGGCCTCTTTTTTAGAGTATGACAGCTGATACAAGGGGGCAGATCCTGCCTGGCCTTGCTTGACCTCAGGTGGTATATCAGGCAACTTTTTTCACCACTCTGCGCATACTCAAGAACGAACACAAAGGGGTTAGAAATAAAATCTTAAAGAGGAGCCCAGTTTGCAAATACGCAATCTGCCAGTGAGGGTCCGCTTCATCATGGATTGATGAAAAATTGGTAATTCAAGAGAAGCAGAAAACTAGAAGGAATTCATGGCATGATAGATTTTGTAAAATTGTCTTTTTAAAGACTTGAATGTAAAGCAGCCAAAAATGTTCATCCATTACGTTCTGTGCCCCAACATGCTTGTTCCCTCAGTACTCAATACCCTTTGTATGTTCAAGGTTCCACCAAACTAGAGGACTTGCCTTTCCCCAAATATCCTCCTGGTTCTGTCTCTGGGTTGTGCGTGAACGTTTTTTTCCCCACTTATTCTTGATTCAGTAAACATTAAACCCTGCCTGTGTCCTAGTCACCGTTCTGGGCTCCAGGCACACGGCAGTGACAAATAAGAACCACTGCCCTCGAGAGCTTCCCTTACTTCACAGCCTTGCACTTTGTAGATGTTTGTAATTTTGCCTCCACACGAGCCATATCATGTATTGTACACAAAGTAAAATAGAAAGGAAATAGTTAAGATTTAAACACAAGCAGTTGAAACCAGTTTTAATGCTCAGTTCCCATTCTGGACTAACCTCTCATTCTCCATGGTTTTCCTCATAGACTCAAAATATAAGATAGCTAAAAAAAGAAGAAACTTCTAGGTGAGGCTTTAAGGGAGAAAAACATAAAAAATGAAAAGACTTTTTTTGGGGGGGTAGGGGATTGACATGGTAAGAGGAGGGCTGCACTTAGGGAGAGGGCTTTCCAGGAGAGGGGGCTGGTAAGAGATTCCTGAGGGCAGAATGCTTGCTCAGTCCTCAGTTGTTTTTATGTAAACTTTTTCCATCTTCCCAGACCTTCAAATGTGACAGCTGTTTTTTTTTTTTTTCAAAACAAAAAGTTTTATTTTGAAAATACTCTTTAAAGATAAATTTGGCTTCCATTTTCCCTAAGGTGCATCCAACAAGATACAAAAGCAACAAAACAGACCCACGACATGTAGAGCTCTAAAATGAGCTGTGAATATCTACCAGAAACCAGCATATGTAAGCTCTTTGTGAAGGGATATACTTGTGTGTCCTTCTACAGTTCTCGGTTCTCAAGAAGAGTTAACTCCCTGGAGCTGCAGGTGTGGCTGCAGCAGGGAGGCTGTGGTCAGTAAGGTGTTGGGGGTGCGACCCTGGGTGGGAGGCATGGAGCGGCGTCTGGGGAGGGAACCAGGGGCAGCACAGGACGCATCCTGGGCTTCTCTAGAAGGGAGTCAGGCTGTGCTGCCGCAGGTCCCAGTTTGGCCTGAACACTTTGCCACACTGCCGGCTATAGGGCTCGATGTCTGCATTTGGAAAGTTTTGTGAACCGCTAGAGTTCTGGACGGACAAAATCCTTTCCCACACTCCTGACATTCGAGCGGTTCTTCTTTGGAATGGGTATGCCTGTGATCCTGCAGATGACCTTGCCTCTGGAAGGCCTTGTGGCAGATGTCACACGTGTATGGCCTCTCACCCGCGTGAAAGACAGGATGTAAAGATAGGATGTCCCTGGCCAGATGACGGCTCCCTGACAGAGGCTTAGGTGTCGGAGCTGCTGGTGAATGAAGTAGGTGGCGAGGAGCTGAGTCAGCGGGGCCCTTTCCCCAGTGTGGTCGAGGTAACCCTAGCAGAGCGGGGAGGCTGACCTCTGGGTCATGCGCACAAGGCAGATAATGTGTGCTATTTAATGAGTGTTGACGTCACCATTTCCTGTTCCAGCCACCGAGGACCCAGTCAAAGACTGGAAGACAGTTCTGGTTCTTGGTTGGGCTGGAAGAACCCACGGTCCATTCATGCTTTCAGTTCCCAGCTGCTTTGCGTGGCTCCTCCCTCACCTCTTAGGTTTCAAAACCCTGACCGGGCTGCTGGCCTTTAAGATCCGCTCCACGAAATTATCTGCCCTCCTGGTCTGCCCTGCTTGTCTTTCCTCCCCACCAGCAACAGAATTTGGACCATCCATATCATCCTGGGGATGGAAAGCAGCATGAGGATGATGTATCCAGGAGGCCCCTAACAGGACATGTTTGGGACCTGGCCTTGCCGCGGGATGGAGAAACTTTTAGCGCCTTAACCTTTTCCATTGGCATAGACCTCCTCTACACCAGGACAGAGGGAACTCTGGTTATTGTGGTAAAACAAAGCAGCCCATCTTTTTACTGGGAAGGTAAGAGTGAGTCAGTGAAAGAGCTCGGGAAGGAGGGTACAGAACAGGAGGCACAGAGGCACTGTGCCCCTCAAACCACCCATCAGGAAAAACGTAACACACATGTGCCTTTTAAGCTTTGCCTGGGGTCTAGGGACTGGTTTCCCCCAAATCACGTAACAGGCTTGTGCTACATGAACTGTTTGATCTTCTGGACCAAAAGTAGTTTCCAACTAGAAACTGTAATTACTCTTCTCTTACTAATTTATGAGAGTTAAATCCCAAACTAACTTTGCCTCTAGGTTTGGATAAATTGTTACTAAAAAGAAGTGCTGGCAGATACTTTCTATGCCTATGTGTCTAATTTTAGCTATTCTTTGAGGTCTACCTCCTACCACTGCCTACATTTCATGTCCCCCTTCTAGTCCTACTCAACCAAGATTATATTAGACATTACATTATATAATAATGGCCATTTCAGTCCTCTCTCCTAACCACATGCAAGCTTTCAGAATGGGTTCCTGTCTGTAACTTCCACAGAGCCTAACAGGTACCAAATACTAGCTTGCTGGCCGACTGTCAATGAAAACTGCCCACTTGTCATAAAATTCTAAGTATCAATTCTCTACAGGCACTAAAACAGAACATTTCCTAATCTCACAAAACTCCTGAATCTTTAGTGGAATCTCAAGAGTTCCTCAAGATTGCATGAAAGTGCATAAAATCAGGTGGGATTATGAAAGCGTTGATCTAAGCCACCACTTTGGAGCCCCCAGCACCAGGGCATGAGGTAAGATAAAAACAAATGGGTAAAAGCTGCAGAGTTTGAAAACCAAGACTTTAAGCATTGTAGGTACTCCTATGATATAAAGTAGAGTATCTGACATTCAGAAGCTGGGCCAGTGAGTTATAAATGAGTCCTGCCTGAAAACGTGCATTTCTGGTCTTACGTTTAAATCCACGTAGCAGTAAGAATTCAAAAAAACATGGTGCATTAAGTGGTCTTTATTGAGATTTCACATTCGGTTATCTTCATTATCAGTTCAGTTAATTGTACAAGTATGATAAGTTATTTTATGTCTGACGTGGGAATTTAAATGTAAAATAAATACAAAATACATTTGTGGTTTAATGAACACTCAGTGAAGCTTTTTTTTCTGAGGTATTCCTTTCAGTCTGGTTTTATCCCAGATCTTTCTTTTTACTTCCCATAGGAAAAGTCTATTAAACCACACAATGGATCTGGAGCCAATGATCTTGAGTTTTAACTACATTAGACGTATTTTTTGATCTCATCATATAACACCAGTACAAAAGCTCCACCCATGCCTCTCAACACATTGGACCAGGCACCTTTGAAGAAAGCCTTGGCTCCTTCATCTTTTGCAATCTTCCTCCAGCAGTCCACCGTCCCCGTGTACATAATATCAGCTGTGGAAACAAATGTTGGTTAAGAGCTCTGTAATTCTGGAGGAGAGGCTTTTCCTCTGAAAGACCTCTCCACACTGTTAGAAAGTCAGTCACTTGAGCTGAGCCCAACCTCTATGTGGGATCCACCTAGACACAAACCTTCCTTGCATAACTGTCAGGCAGCGTCTCTTGTCAATCCTACTCCTTCCACCCAAGATCAGGTGAAGAACTTGGGCAGTTAACCAGCTAACTCTCACACACATGGTCAAACTGTGAAACAGGAGGGGATGGGGCGGAGCGGAAGTACTAATAAGCTGGGTTATTCCCCCTTTTTCTAGAGAATAAAAAAATTTATGGGCAGAGTCTCAAATTATACTGCCCAAGATAACACAGTTAAAAGAGATACAACTATTAGGTTGAAACATACAGAATATTTGACTTTTTGATGGTAAAAAATGGCAATTTCATGTTTCAACCTACAGAAACCAAGACAGTTTCGGGCCATGTCACCCAACAAAAGCACCCTCTCCCACTAACACTTGTAGTAAGAGCTAGATAACAAAAGCAAGAATTATTTTTAAGTAAATTAGCTAATTTGTTTCCTGTATTTCTGTACCTAGACTCTAGGGGAAAAGGACCTACAGCCTCTATATTAAGTTCACCTCTAAAGATCTCATTTTTGATGTTCTTATCTCTGATAGAAACACATTCCTTTCTCTAAAGGAACAGCTGATAGTGTTGGGGGGCTGACCGTAAAGTCTTTCCTAAGTTCTTACCACATAATTTTTAACAGTGAAGACTAGAAAGAGCGCTGAACAATGTTCTCCTTGGGCAGAGGGATCGGAGATCAGCAGGTGTCAGGCTTACCCCCTTTCCGGCCAGACTGCATCATCATCCTACGGCGGACAGTGTCAAAAGGGTAGGACACCAGCCCTGCAACCGCTGTCACGCTTTGGGCAATCATCCAGCTCACAATAATGTGCACATTCTTGGGGTCAGGCAACATCCCTGTGAGCAGAGGCAAGAAGCCAAGTGGCTGTGAAGTGATTTCTCCCAGCAGCTCAGCCGGGAGCTTTTAAAGTAGGCATGGCAAAGAGGCTACCATCCCTGCAACTCCAGGCCCTGCCCTTCTCCTCCCCCCCCCCCAAAGGACCTGCCCCCTGTGGGTGCCTCACAAATAACCAGGCAACCAACCAAGGCTGGGAGCTGCTGTCTAGATCCAGGGAAGCCAGAGCTGTGCCCAGGACACAGGGCCTGTTGGAGTGGCTCCAAGTTCAGCTCAGTCCCTGCCAGAGCTGTGGCAATGGGGGGTGGGAGGGGCCCCCTTCCTCCTCTCTCAGTAACTCAAGGCCAGAGCTTATTTCAGTAGGGGGCAAGGAGGGCCCTGTAGCTATTTATCTACATCATACCACCTCCTCATTCCGAAGCATCAGGTTAGCCCAGGGACTAGGAACAAAACCAAGATTAATAAAGAGAAGGTCCTTGGTGAGTTACAGACCCCCGGGGACCTTCCCCCTCCCCACTCCACACCCCCTGAGGCCCCTCTCACCCTTGGCAGTATCATAGACTCCAAAGTAGGCAGCTCTGTAGATAATGATGCCCTGGACAGAGACGCTGAATCCCTGGTAGAGACCCCTCAGGCCATCAGACTTGAAGATCTTGGTGAGACAGTCACCCAGACCACTGAACTCACGCTGGGCGGCACCCTTGCCCACATCGGCAGCCAACCTGGTCCTAGCAAAGTCCAGCGGGTAGACAAAGCAGAGAGAGGTGGCCCCAGCTGCCCCACCGGAAGCCAGGTTACCGGCAAAGTAACGCCAGAATTGCTTATGCCGGTCCACGCCCCCCAGGAAGATCTGCTTGTATTTGTCCTTGAAGGCGAAGTTGAGAGCTTGGGTGGGGAAGTAACGGATCACGTTGGCCAGGTTACCCCTCCAGAAGGAGAGAAAGCCCTGCTCCTTGGGGATTCTCACCACACAATCAATGATCCCTTTGTACTGCTTCTCGGCACTGATCTGTTTGCTGGCATGCTGGACCTGTGGGGGGAGGAGGGGGGGGAGGAATTGGTGAGGATGGCGGCAGCAGAGGGAGAAGAAAAGAGGACGAAAGAGGACGGGAGCAAATGCACCTCTACAACTCCTTTGTTTTCTTTCTTAAAAAAATAATAATAATAATAATTTATTTATATATTTATATGGGATATCAAGCAGATATTGACTAAATCTAAATAAGTATGTTGGCTACTTGGATAACGAAGGCAAAAAAAACCTTCCACTTTGCCTCAATTATCAGGGCACTTGAGAGAAAAGGTTCTTCCAAAGATAAACTGAAAAGGCTGCATTGCAAAGAGGCATTTATGCATTGCCTTTTCCGTAGGTGCCAGAACTACACGAGGGGCTTAGCGGGAGGTAGAAATGTTGGGAGAGCCCCGTCCTAAAGCACCTGCTCTGATTTAACAGACCCGATGGGCAGGCAGGAGATCGCGATTTCTGGAGACCAGGATCTCTGCGGAGTAGATACTCTCACAGGAGGAGGAGAATAAATCCACTAGGTATTAGGGCCTGAAAATGTTCAAGTAGATTATCCAAGTAATTGATTATTGGGGGTTTGTTGCTGTGAGCGAGCAATATGTTGGGGTTTTCCTTTATGATAATCTTGACTCCCAAAGTGAGGAGGCCCCGTTTCTCACTGAGGGGCCCTTGCCTTTTGGGAGCAAGCAGAGGGAAAAACGGGACGCCGATGATGATGATGATGATGATGACAAGCCAGAGAGCCGACTGCAGGGTTAAAGATGCGGGGGACACACGCGGCAAGACCGTCGGACTCTATTCCGAGAACTGTGTCTTAATCTCTCAAAACCGGTGTTGATGGGCTGTCAAACCGGGGGAATAACGCCGCTGTCTTACAGAGGCTGTGCGGAGGCAGGTGCAGGTGGGCCGACTGCCCGGCGCGCGACACCCGGCCGGCGAGACTCCGGGGGTGTGCACCGGCCCAGGGGGCGCGGGGGCGCGGGGCGCGGGGGGCCCGACGGCCGGAAGGTGAGGCCGACCTCGGAGGCGTCCCGGGAGCAGGACCTGGCTGGCTGCGCCCCACTCGGGGTGGGTTTCCATATATAGACACCCGCACGCAGGGCGCCACCCGACACCAGGAATCCGCTACTGACGCTCGACCTGCCTCTCCGCAGAGGGCACCTTCCCGCTCGCGCAGGCCGCCCGGGGCCTGGGGCCCGCAGCACCGAGCCGCCGCGGCCCGGGCCGCCCCCGCGCGCCCCCGCGCGCCCCGCCCGCGCCCCCGCCGCCCGCGCCCCCGCCGCCCGCGCCCGCGCCGCCCGCGCCCCGCCCTCACCTGCAGCAGCAGTTTCACCCTCTCGATGGGGGCGACCGCGGTCTTGGACACGGCAGCGGCGACGCCGCCGGCCAGGAAATCCTTCAGGAAGCTCAAGGCGTGATCGCTCATGGTGACAGCCGGGCGCACACAGCCTCCGCGCGGCCAGGCTCGGCCACCCGCTCTCCGTCCCTGCGCGACGCGAAGGGGCCGCTCGGCTCGCCCCGCAGCCCTCCTTATATGCCCCGCGCGGCCTCTCGCGAGAGGGGGCGGGGCCCCGGGGCCGCGCGCGCCGCGCGCATTGGCTGGGCCGGGGGCCCGCCCCTACCCCGTCGCCGCCCCGCCCCCTCCGCGGCAGAGGGCACCCGGGGCGAGGGCGCTTCCGGGAGGCCGGGGTGGGCCGGGGGCTGTGCCCGCGCCTTGGGACGTTTAAAGGGCAAATGCGTGTTATCGGTCCGGGCGAGCGGAGGGAACACGGTGTCTCCGCGGCATGTGGGCCGCGGTATTTATAGCACAAGGAGGGTGAGGCCGGGGCCGACCCGGGGCCGACGCCTCGAGCGGGGCTGGCTTCACCCTCGGGCCCGCCGGGCCCGCCCCAGGCCGTGCGTGGGGTTCCGCTTGGGTTTGGGGATTTTTTTTTTTTTTTCCATCGCCCTCCGTGTAACGGCGTCCCTCACCGCGCTCGCCGCTGGGATTGACTGGGGCCTCTTCGGAGTTGCGCGCTCTCCGCAAATAAACGAAGATCCTCCAGAATAAATGCTAACGTCACTGGATGCTGCGATTACGTCATCATCTGGCAACCTGCCGAATCCCCCCACCCCCACCCCCTCCCCCTCCTCTTCCCTCCATTCAGTCGTTATTCTACCCTGAGATGCCTCTGTGGCTGGCGTTCAGTGCAACCGGGAAAGGGGGGAGCTCGAGGGCAGAGGGGACTCTAACAATAGGGGCCTTTTTTTTTTTAATTTTAGGAAGAGAGCACGCCTGCAAGCAGGAAAGTGGCAGAGGGAGACGGAGAAGCAGGCTCTCGGCTGAGCAGGGAGCCTAATGCAGGCTGCATCCCAGGACCCCGGGCTCAGCACCTGAGCTGAAGTCACCAGCTCAACCCACTGAGCCACCCAGGTGTCCCTAGGACACTTCTTTTGCAAACCCCTTAAGGGCTTCATGTGCTGCTCTGTCGTCCGCGGAATCTCAGGGCATATTCTGGGCAGAATGTTCTCTGGCAGCTGGCGGCTTCTGGAGGGTCAGTGCTGTTACTGTTAGCTTTCCCATCGGAGGAGCTGGGTGACGGGGATTACAAGCAAGGGAAGGTCAAATCCTTGTCTGTATTTGCCTCTTTTTAATAGGCACTGGGCATGGGGGTGACGTATGCTCTCTACTCTTAGGGAAGTGATTGCAACTCTGCATTGGTTTTGTTTTTGTTTTATGCATTCCTATGAACTTTGCTTTTCCTTACCTTTTTTTTTTTTTGTAGGCAGTTCACACAGTCATGCAGGTTTTCAAATACAGCTGTTCCATGCCCTAGAATGACTGCAAGTAGTTTTTAACTCCAAACCCTTCACTCAAGTTTCTTCCCAATTTTGTACGTTTGACAGTTTATGCGTCTTATTCACAAGCCTGCTGATGAATGCAGACTTCGTGTTAGGTGTTGATTGAACTGCAGCCTTCTGCAGCCCTGGGTATGGAGACTTCAGTAGAGTAGAGGTCACTAGTCAGTCGGGTGCCAGGACCACAAATGGTATGCGTTTATCTGAGGTTGGGCAGGCCAGAGTCCGGAAATCTAGGTGAGCAGTGTGAAAGCTAGCAAATGCAAGTTTACCAAGGTCATAGCAGGCAGGAGGTCAGGAATTCAGCATGAATAGCAAAGCCATTTGTGGGCAGCCTGGGTGGCTCAGCGGTTTGGCGCCACCTTCGGCCCAGGGTGTGATCCTGGGGACCCTGGATCGAGTCCCGAGAGTCAGGCTCCCTGCATGGAGCCTGCTTCTCCCTCTGTGTCTCAGCCTCTCTCTGTGTCTCTCATGAGTAGATAAATAAAATCTTAAAAAAAAAAAAAAAGAAAAGAAAAGCCATTTGTGCTTTCATTGAACAAGGACTCTGAGCATTTGTTGTGTACCAGGAACAAAGTTTGGCCCTGCAGATTCAGTATGAATAAAAGATGGTTCAGTCTCCCAAGAAACTCAGTTTAGCGGTGGACATATGCGTCACTTATTCAGCTTTATTTATTACAGCTTCACATATAGATTTTCATGGGTTAACCTAATCCACATAATTGTGCGCTGTATTCCATTCTGTTAATATTGAGCAGTTCCCTAAGCCGTTCTCTTTTGTGCATTAGAGATGTTTCATATTTCTACTGCAAAAAAAACAATGCTGCTACATACTTTGCATAAATTTCATTTTTCCCTTTTTTGACGTTTCCTTCTCTTTTCTCTTTTGTAAAGTGGAAAGGGTAGATTAAATGTTTTAAAGACGTTTTAGCTCTTGCTACACACTGAGAAGTTGCTCTTCAGAAATAACGCAGCCCACCAGCAGTAAAATGGGCTATAGATCCTCCTCCAACACTGTCTTAAAAAAAAAAGCATCTTTTAGTTATTTGTGTCGTTTTATGAATTCTAATTTGCACCTCTTTCATTGCTATCAAACTGCATGTATCTCATACAATTCAATTTAGTTTGTCAGGGTTTTCTTTTGTTATAAATTTTTAATCTTCCTTAACTACCTATGCTGTGAAAGCAGAATATTTATAATTCTGTATATGTTTAGAGCAATAAGTAGGTGTTAGGCACTTTCATTTTGTTATTTTTCTTTTTTTGGGGGGGGTAAGATTTATTATTTTAATAATAAATTTATTTTTTATTGGTGTTCAATTTGCCAACATACAGAATAATACCCAGTGCTCATCCTGTCAAGTGCCCCCCTCAGTGCCCGTCACCCAGTCACCCCCACCCCCTGCCCTCCTCCCCCTCCACCACCCCTAGTTCGTTTCCCAGAGTTAGGAGTCTTTATGTTCTGTCTCCCTTTCTGATATTTCCCGCACATTTCTTCTCCCTTCCCTTCTATTCCCTTTCACTATTATTTATATTCCCCAAATGAATGGGACCATATAATGTTTGTCCTTCTCCGATTGACTTCACTCAGCATAATACTCTCCAATTCCATCCACGTCGAAGCAAATGGTGGGTATTTGTCATTTCTGATGGCTGAGTAATATTCCATTGTATACATAATCCACATCTTCTTTATCCATTCATCTTTCGATCGACACCGAGGCTCCTTCCAGTTTGGCTATTGTGGACATTGCTGCTGGAAACATCGGGGTGCAGGTGTCTCGGCGTTTCATTGCATCTGTATCTTTGGGGTAAATCCCCAACAGTACTGGGTCGTAGGGCAGGTCTATTTTTAACTCTTTGAGGAACCTCCACACAGTTTTTGTGTCTTCCTGAAAGAAATTGAGGAAGTCACAAAGGGATGGAAAAATATTCCATGCTCATGGATTGGGAGAATTAATATTGTGAAAATGTCAATGTTACCCAGGGCAATTTACACGTTTAATGCAATCCCTATCAAAATACCATGGACTTTCTTCAGAGAGTTAGAACAAATTATTTTAAGATTTGTGTGGAATCAGAAAAGACCCCGAATAGCCAGGGGAATTTTAAAAAAGAAAACCATATCTGGGGGCATCACAATGCCAGATTTCGGGTTGTACTACAAAGCTGTGGCCATCAAAACAGTGTGGTCCTGGCACAAAAACAGACACATAGATCAATGGAACAGAATAGAGAATCCAGAAGTGGACCCTCAACTCTATGGTCAACTAATATTCGACAAAGGAGGAAAGACTACCCACTGGAAAAAAAGACAGTCTCTTCAATAAATGGTGCTGGGAAAATTGGACATCCACACGCAGAAGAATGAAACTAGACCACTCTCTTGCACCATACACAAAGATAAACTCAAAATGGATGAAAGATCTAAATGTGAGACAAGACTCCATCAAAATCCTAGAGGAGAACACAGGCAACACCCTTTTTGAACTCTGCCACAGTAACTTCTTGCAAGATACATCCACAAAGGCAAAGGAAACAAAAGCAAAAATGAACTATTAGGACTTCAAGATAAGAAGCTTTTGCACAAAGGATACAGTCATTTTGTTATTTTTCTTTTGATACTGTTATCACATTGTTCTAACAGTGTAACTTATTTACATATGAACAGATCCATATGATGCTATACTCCATGTTCTGATGTAAATGTATCCCTTTTGTAGATATAATGGTCCATTTGCCCTACTAGCCTATTTCCTTCTACTTCTTTTGATCTAATTTCATACCACACCATTTTCAGGTATCCTAACACTAATTCTTTTTTTTTTTTTTAGTTTTTATTTATTTATTTATTTGACAGAGAGAGTGTGCCCGCACATGCTTGAATTGGGGGAAGACCAGAGTAGGGGGAGAGAGAATCTGAAATACACTTTGTGCTGAGCCCAATGCAGGGCTCAATTTCACGACCCCAAACTCATGATCTGAGCCAAAACCAAGAGTTGGATGCTTAACCTACCGAGCCACCCAGACACCCCCCAACTCTAATTCTTAAGTAGATATTTTCTTTTCTCTGCTATTTGTCTTGGATTCCTAATTCCAGTTTGTCATTTTTAAGTTCTTATAATAGCTTTAATTAATGAAATCACCATACCATGACTCATTTATTTGATCATTGATCTTTAAAAAAAGGATAACTTACATGTGATTCTATAATTACTTTAAAAAACAAGAAGTTTTGTCTGCTTCAACATCTGGATTTGTTTTCACTATCAAGTTGCCCAATTAGTTAAATGTCACTAGAAGATTTTTTGAACAGATATTAAAATTAAACTAAATATCAACATATTAATCCAGGAAGTGTTATCATCTTTGTTGCACTTGATTTTACTAGTCACAATTTTTTAAAATGTTCTAAATGGGGATCCCTGGGTGGCGCAGCGGTTTGGCGCCTGCCTTTGGCCCAGGGCGCGATCCTGGAGACCCGGGATCAAATCCCACATCGGGCTCCCGGTGCATGGAGCCTGCTTCTCCCTCTGCCTGTGTCTCTGCCTCTCTCTCTCTCTGTGACTATCATAAATAAATAAAAATTATAAAAATAAAATAAAATAAAATGTTCTAAATGGATGATATCATATTTCTCCTTGGCTTCTGTCCAATTATCCTGTCACGTAGG